ATTTTTTTATTCAATATTAAACAATTTTGTATATAAGACTTGTTTATGTAAAAATAATTCTCTAGGTCATTAAGAGATTTGCTGTGGTAGCTCCCAGGTACACGAGACTGAATATATTTACCAAGAAGACAAATGATATTCTTTTTTTTTTTTAAATTTTATTTATTTATTTGTGTGTGTGTGTGGGGGGGGGGGCAGCTCAGCCCACCAGGGGGCGGGGCTGGCTGGCATGTGGTGCTGGGGATTGAACCGCAGTCCCTGCGCTTTGCTAAACTTGTTCTAAGTAGGTGCTTTAGACCACTGAGCCATCTCACCAGCCCCAGACAAATGATATTCTTAATGTTTCCCTTTTGTCTTAGGACTTACCTTCCTTTTTATTCTACCTTTTGAATCTTTTTACTTGCCTTTAATTAGATTTGTTATTTAATAACAGCTTTGCTTTTCTGTAGATTGTTTGGAGCTTATGTACCCAGGCTTGACTTAGAAGTTGAAGATGTAGACTGGGCGTGGTGGCACGTGCCTGTAATCCCAACACTTGGGAGGCTGAAAACAGGAGGATCACTGAGTCTGATCTGCTTAGTGAGACCCTGTACTAAATATATTAGAAAGAAAAAAAATAAATATGTGAAGTTGCCAAACCTTCTCTGGCTGTTCTTGAAACTAAAGTGCTCTTGGGATCTAATAGTGGCATTTTTTTTTTTACAACCAACAAGAGGATTTGACTTTTAATAAATATTGCCCCACATAGCCTACCTGCACTTGCTCTTCTTGTTCCTGTGCAGTCCTGCACCGCCTGTGTCACTTAACTTGGTTAATGAGTTTACTAGAGAAATTGGCCTCTAAAGAAAGTAATACTAACTTTATACAGTTTTAATTGGGGTGGCGGTGGTGGTTACATAATTGTTCCTTGGATTTAACGCTATCTCTGACACAACATTTTTTTAAAAAATGTCCACAGGATTTGATAAATGGTTAGGTCTATTTAGCTCTCTTAAATTCTTTAGCTTTTAAGTGCATTCATAGATAGCTTAAAAGTAGCAATGCCAGCTCTACACTGCATATTTTATAACATTGTACAGTGTTTTCTAGTAAGTTTATCAGTGTGAATTTATGTATACATATGTACAAAAATAATGGATGCTTAAGAGAAAAAATTTCACCGCCTGTCAACGAACTGTCTGCAACTTAGCATAGCAGAGAAGAAGCGAAAGAAACAGGACAGTGGTGTGAACATGGGGAAGCAAGAAAGTGTACAACTGTGAAGCGAATGCTTAGTCTCAGAGATGAGAGACTCAAAGAAAAGGATAGATTAAAACCTAAAAGGAAAGAAAAGACAGATCCTAGTGCTCCAAAGGAAAGAGAAGTCCCCCAACATCCTTTCTGCTTATTCTTCCATCATAACACACAGGTGGGCCCACCTTCTCATATCCTGGTTGATACCAACTTTATCAACTTTTCCATCAAAGCCAAATTGGACTTGGTACTATCAATGATGGAGTGTCTGTATGCCAAGTGTATCCCTGTATAGCTGATTTTGTAATGGCCGAAATTGAGAAATTGGGACTGAAGTATCAAGTGGCCCTAAGCATTGCCAAGGTTCCACGGTTTGAACAATTAACCTTGCGCACATAAAGCGCCAAGTATGTGCAGAGAGTAACTCAGCACAAGTGTAACATTGTGGCCACAGTTGACCAGGACCTTAAATGGAGAATCCAGAAGATCCCTGGAGTTCTGTCCTGTACATTTCTAATCACAGATACAACACTGACCAGATGCTAGATGAGTATGGAGCCCTCTGTTCTGATTCTTACAAGACAAAGTTCCTCTGCCTCCTTCTGACCAACTTTTTTTTTTTCCAATTCATTCAGCATGCTGTAGCATGAATTATTCACCCACTCGCTGTATTATTAGCTGATTATGGTTAAATAAGTTCACTTTTTGATGCTTTGTGAAGAAAAAAAGAACAACAAAGAACAAGAAGTGCATGGGTTCTTCTCACCATGCTTGAGGTCCAGTGGCAGGTGATTACAGGGTGGCATTTTTCAGGCGGAGAGCACATGTGTTACAGCAGCAGCTCACTGCCTCGGTCGTATAAGTTGGTCAAAGTTGAAATTTGAAGGATATAATTTAGAACTAATCTTTGGTAATTAGTTAACACTATTTCAATTTTAAGATCTAAAGAATGTATTAGGTAACTTTTTCTTTGTCAGAATATTTGTATAATCATAACTTTCCCTCAGTTCCTATAAAATTGCACATAATCTCCCAGTGTTTTATGATAATATACTTATTAAAATTCATGATGTAATTATCTAAGCTTTTTTATATAAATTCTCCATAGCAACCAAATGATTTCTAATTATTGCTGAAGTGGCGCCCAAACATTCTTCATCTATAAAGATGGAAGCACTAAGAAGGGAAAGTGAAACTCACACCAACTTAGAGATGTTAAAACAGGTTAAACCTAGCAGTGTGACTATGGGAGACGAAAGTTTTCAAGATGATGACATAGGTAATTAATATTTAGGAACTGGCTTCAGCCGTGGGGACTCCAGGGCCTCTGGTGGAAGGTCAGCACCAGAGTCACTGACAAATCCACAGGTGTGCTGTCACCAACCCTGTCAGAGCTGTGTGTCAGCTGTTGAGAGTTTGGGTGAAAGGAGCACAGGAAAAGGTCTCTTGGTAACATAGAGGTCACCAAAGTTCTTGGACTAAAAGTGGTCTCTTCCTTGTGGTGTTGGTTTAAGAAGGATTTGTTTTTTCTTTAAAGGTTGGCTCTGAGTTTATCATTCTTAATAGCTGAATAATACTCCATTGTGTAAAAATACCACATCTTTTTCAACCATTCCTCAGGTGATGGGTATCTTGGTTGTTTCCAAGATTTGGCTATCACAAATTGTGCTGCTATAAACATAGACACACATATATCACTATGATATGATGTTTTCATATCCTCTGGGAAAATTCCCAGTAGAGGAATAGCTGGTTTAAATGGGATTTCCAGTCCAAGTGTTCTAAAGAGTCTCTATACTGATTTCCATAACGGTTGCACCAGTCTACATTCCCACCAGCAGTGGAGAAGGGTTCCTTTTTCCCCCCAGCCTCTCCAACATTTGTTGTTGGGTGATTTCTTTATGATAGCCATTCTTTCTGGGGTGAGATGATATCTCAATGTGGTTTTAATTTGCATTTCACAGATGGCTAGTGATGTGGAGCATTTTTTCATATATTCGCTTCTTTAATTTCTTCCTCTGAGAAGTGTGTGTTCATCTCCGATGCCCATTTCTGGATTGGGTCTTTAAATTTTGGGGCCCTAGTGTTTTTTATTTCTTTATAAATTCTAGAGAGCAGACCTTTGTCTGAGTACATTGCCAGTGAAGCGGAAGACCCAACACTATTATGGACTACTGAACTCTTTTAGATTATTTTGCTGAGTTTACACACCTATAATATTCAAATAACGGAACTTAACAAAAAAAGGGGATACAGATGAATGTCCATTTTGTTTCTGTGTATTCAAAGTGGTTAGGATAGATATATAGTTACATTCTCTTAATGAATAGAGTGCTTTGTTCTAATGGTGTTTGTAGATAGTATATCATGTCCACATCTTGTACAGCAATTAACCACTGGGAGGAATGTATGCAATGTGTTAATTATTGAAACTGTCCTACCAATTTGGTTTGAAACTCTCTCATTGCTGTTTATCAATAAAATTATGGAAAAAAATTCAAAATACATTTTAAAAAGTAAATAAATAAAAAATAAAAAAATAAAGCTTGGCCCAGGCTGCCCTTAAGAGCGGGTCTGGTAAGACATGGGGAGCCAGAATCCAACCTGGGTTTCCTGAGCCTGACTGTGTTTGCTGCAGTAGGCCCTGAAACAGCTGAACTGACCGCAAGCCCCCATGCTGTTTGTTTAAGATATGTACTCTTGTTTCATTAACTGTCTCCTGTGGTGTTGAAGGTTTTATTTCTGGTTAGGCTCTTGATGGCATTTTTAAGTAATGAGATTCTTTGTAGTTTGATGATGCTCTAGAAATCTGGTAAGTACTGTACACTCTGTCGTATGTTTTGGTAATTTACTTGGTAAAATATTAGCATGTGTCATTGAATTACATACTGTGGAGTAGATCTTTGTTGTCTGACATTCATTTTTTCTTTAAAAATCTTACCTTCATGAAAGAAATTTTTTCTTTGTGCTATTTAGCATCTCCATCAGGTTAGTTTAGATTATTTCTGATTGCAGTAGTTATTTGGAAGGGAAATTCCTTAGTTTTAACAAGATATAATTTCCCATATCCTTTATTAGGTACTTATATACTATTAGGTACTAAGGTATTTTAATTTGAAAATTTAGGACAATTTGCTTTACTATTTCTTTTCAAATTAACCTCTTGGATATAATCACCATAAAATATTTATTCTCCTAAAAAGAGATCAAAACCAAGACTCACAACTAATGTTCACAGGGAGCAGAGTAGTTAAGTACAGAAATCGTGAAGGTATTTTCAGGTTACACAATTTCTACAATATAAAGTGTCTGCATTTATTGTTTTTTTTTCTCCTGGTTCAGTTGTTTATAATACTACAATATAAGGTTATCTATTTCTTCTTTTCAGTGCAGTTATACTTGTTAGAAGAAAATAATACCACATAATTTAGTCTAGGGTTACTTCTTAGATTATGACTGAGTTTTACTTTTTTGGTTCTATAATTATGGTTCACGAGTCAACATTGATGCCATGTAAACCGTGATTTTTAATTTGCCTTATTGTCATAATGTTTCAACCAGAATAAACATTTAATGTAAGTCATAACTGCAAACCTTTAAATATAAAGTCACTGTAATAAGTTTATTTTTCCTTTCTTGAAGCAATTTGTCCTAAATTTCCATACATTTGCATTTGTTTTTGCTGTTCTAAAATTCCTTAGTTGCTGGCTTTTACCTTTTATGTTGCTGAGTTTTATACATCTATTTTCTCACCTGCCATATCCTAGGGGGCTTGGAGTACCCATAATACAGTGAGCCCACCTTCCTGGTCCCCAGACATTTCAGAAGGTCGGGAAATTTTTAAACCCAGGCAGCTTCCTGGCAGTGCCATTTGGAGCATCAAAGTGGTAAATAAAATTGCATTTACCTTCATGTATCATTTCTTTCTGGTTTATTTTGTCCTGTTGAATGTTAAGAAGTAAACTGTTGTAGATTCAGTTTCCTGAGCCACTTTTTAATGGGAAAATTTTACTATAAAGAAATAACATGCTTTAGAGATCTTGACTGGGAGGATGTTAAATTGTAGTTTTACAAGTATAAAATTTAATACCTGCTTTTATGGCTTATTTGTTTGTTATGTTTATAAACCAATATTCCTATGAGGAGAAAATCCTTGTTCTGTAGGCTGAAAGGTAATTGGAGACTTGCTTGTTCATGTTACAGAATGTTTTTGCTTGGAAAAAGAAAAATTGTTAATAGAAGAGTATCAGCATCGCAGCATATTTTACTGTGCGTGTTAAGCTTCTCAGTTGTAGAGATTTTTCTTTGTCATTGGATGATTCTTTTAGTTTTAGAAGTAGACTGATACATTTTGAAGGGAAAAATTAATTTGAAAAAGATGTATTCATCTCAAAAGTTAGAATACTTTTATTTACAAGAGAAAATATTTTTCTTTATGTTCCATATTTAATTTAATTGTGGAGTAAGGCTGTAAATGTTTTACTATTTCAGAATAATGTACACTTTAACAGTGTAAAGGATGACTAATTTTACAATTTTATAGCAAATACCACCCATTTTCACTTAATTATATCTGTGTCTTCGCATGTGAGGGCACATTGTCAGATTATTCTAGGCTGAATTATAATTAACTTTATTTTATTTTTATTTTATTTTTTATTTTCTTGATGGAACCGGGGATTGAACTGAGGCCCTTGTGCTTGCCAGGGAAGCACTTATTCCATTGAGCCATCTCCCCGGCCCAAATATACTCTATTATTATTATTATTATTATTATTATTATTATTATTATTTTGTGAAAATGGGGATTTGAACTCAGACCCTTGCGCTTGCCAGGCAAGTGCTTATTCTACTAAGCCATCTCCCCACCCCTATAATTAACTTCAAAAAAACCTTTTTTCCTATGTAAAAAGCAGCAAAACAGAACAACCTATTCCTTGAAGCTAACAACAGACCTCTCAAAGAACCTGAAGGAGATCAGGGTGAGAGGAGAAGAGAGGTCTTTTGAAAACTTGAATGGGATGTACTGACTAAATGAGAGCAGGATGCAAGGGTGCCCCTTCCTTTTGGTTCTTCTTACTGAGCACAGTGCTGCAACAGATATTTTTACCTAGAAACTATTCTGGTAAGAGGAGATAAGTTCACTTAGTAAACTCTGATCATTGGCTTTAGAGAGATGAGATCTTAACTTTGTTTGGGGTAGCACCTATATTTCTGATTATTCAAAGATTATAAGCATATAATGGACTTATTTGTGTACATGTCCTGGCTGCCCTCAGCATAACAATGCAAGTCTGAATGTAAAGAAAAGAAGAGAAAAACTCAGAAGATGTTTGTACTGACATCTTAAAAAGGCAGAAGTTCAATGTTTCTTCATGATATTATTAAAAAGTCACATAAATTCTGTTTCAGGAATTGATTATCCAGGGTATTCAAAAGAGGCATTTTATATTTTTGTCATTTTGCTTACAGTATGCAATTTTTTCTCTAAATACTGTGGTAGACTAAGGCAGGAATTTTCAGTTTATAAAGCTGCTGTTAAATGATAGTTGAAATCATTTAATTTTAAGAACAAGCCTCCTCATTCCTTTATACTAGCAAAAATGAATTTTGATGCAGTGTAACAGCACAGAATAGAAGTTAAAAAGCAGAGTTAGAAGTCAGACTTGTGAACTTAATGATCATGGTCAAGCTACTTAAACTTTTTATTCCTCAGTACATTTATCTCTAAAATGGGGATAATAAAACAGTATATATATGTATTTTATGGGCTTCCTGAGAGTAACAAGTGCTTAAATCAGTACATAGTAAGTATTCAGTGAATGTATTCTATTACAATAATCCCTGAAAGACTACTTAGTAAGCATTCTTCCTTGTTTTGAATGCAGTTGGTTGTACACTGAAGTAGCTAGGCTGGATGGGGCAGTTTCAGTCGTCTAGATCGCAGGAGTATGAGTTAGAGAGACAGTGTCGAGGCTGCTGCTGAGGAGCATCCCCAGGACTGGACGCGTTGTCTGATGCGGAGGTTAGACACATCCCAGGGCTGGGGAGCTCGCTCAGTGGTGTAAGCAGTGCCGGCAAGTGCAAGGTCCTGGGTTCAGTCTATGGGACTGCAAACGAGCGAACAGTAGTAATAGAATAAAACATTAGATATTTATATTTTAAGTTGTAAAGTGCATACTTAAAAGGTACAAGTAATAAGTTTGATATGATGTATATCATCTAATCAGAATAAAATAGTATATATTTGTTTTAACGTTTAATAAAATGTTTTACTTTGTTGGCATTTGGATTAAAAATTCTGCTGGGCTTTTATAGAATGCAGACTGCCCTTATCTGTTCCATAGGGCCGTGGTTCCGGATTTCCGGGAAAGCGAAGACCTCGAGGTGCAGGGCTATCAGGACGAGGTGGCAGAGGCAGGTCCAAACTAAAAAGTGGAATTGGAGCTGTCATGTTACCTGGGGTAAGCCTTTTTTAAAATATTTACTATGCTTTGTAAATGTGAGTTTATGAGAAGCTCATTTGTAGCAAGTTACTTCTGTATGAAGAAGAATATCAATGGACTGTTTATTTTTTTATTTATTTGAGAGAGAGAGAGAGAGAGAGAGAGAGAGAGAGAGAGAGAGAGAGAGAGAGAG